CGTTCTGCCCGTGTGGAGGCGGTGCTTGATGTCTTTGGCGTTTATCGGAATGACCGCTACTTCGGGTCTCATATTGCAGCTTCACCCTCATTTTTTCGCGAGAACACCAGTACCATTTCAAAACTCATGCGATATTTCAGTTTTTGAGCTTATCGTAAAGCTCACGTTCAACTTAGCATTTGTCTCTTGAATCTTCGATCTATTTCAGAATGCCATTTTTAGTCTTTCAAATCAAAAAGTTTTAGGTTAGCAAAGGTATCCTGTGTAAACAGTTTCTCGTTGACAAACAACTACAGCACGACCATAGGTATCTCGCTATGCATTCGACTCAGTGTTATCGACCACTCCTGTAAACCGAACATGCGTTACGCGTATCGGTGAGTATTTCACCGATGCATTGTAAAGTATCAGTGCACTCAACACAATTTACAAACAAACAACACCACATAGCTGACCATATACAGCTCGCACCAAGGTTCATCCCATTTAGCGGGCTTGCGTGTCTCCAATCCATTTTAAAATATTTATTCAGTAGATATTTTGAACTATTGTATCTCAAAATAATTATAACGACATGGTTCATAATAAGTCAGATATGCTCTGGCTTTACAAGGAAAGAATTCCGTATGAAGTTTTCAGTTTGGTTTATTTTTGGTTTTCTTTCCGATTTCCTCGGGGACGAAGCACCGTGTTCACAGTGGGTGATGGTGCCAAGGAGGCTGCCGGTCTCCACGTGTTGAACTCTTGAAAACATTCTGCTTCTATTAGGCTCACAGCGGTAGATTCGCTGTCAAGAAGTTTCGTCTACTGTGGCATAAAAGCAACCCAGAGCAGGTGACGAGCGCTCAGAACAACCTGGCTGTAACAAACTGGCATGAATGAATGAGGATCGGCGCCTCCTCCTCAGACTCCTGCTTCTTTTTGGTAGACATATTTCCTGCCTATGTTTCACACTGAATACAGAACATGTTTCACACAGAACGAAAGTCATTGTTTCCGAAAATTCACTTAGATTTTATTTGATGTGGTTGGGGCGGAAGTGGTGTAGTGGCAAGTGGCACGCTTACCACGCGAGCGGTCCGGGGATCAAATCCTGGGTCGTGAGTCGCCCGGGCCAACCAAGCCTTCCATCCCTCCGGGGTCGGTTAATTGGTACCAGACTTGTCTGGGAGGATAAAAACACTGACTTGTACATCGGCTGGCCCCCGCAAGTCATTGTATAGGCCACATCGCATTCAAACGCCACTACGAATGTACAAATGGAAGTAGAATGCGTGCCGCATCCCAAAAAGGGATTGATCAACGGCAAATGCTTTATCCTTTATCTTTAATGTCTTTAGATTGCTCATACGCACCCAACTTCCCACAGCAAATCGAGGGGCCAAACAGGACCCCTGACGACATTTCGACCGTTTCCACCATGCAGGATAATGTCTGCACTGCGCGGCTTTGCGCATCAACGCAGTCACTTGAACAGCAAAATGTGCGGACGAATACAGGGTGTCCCATGAAAATTACAACACTTAGTAACTTCTTTCAAATGGATGTATCTTCAAGAGGTTTTTACAAAAATTTTAGCAATACATTTACATATTGAAAGGAATGACATTCATTGGATATGCTCCCCTGTTGTTGTGAGTATGGCTCCCAATTGCTTCGAACGCAACTCTACTGTGGCCCGCATGGCATCCTGGGGTGTTCTCTTCGAAACTTTGCAGAGAAAAGGCTCCGGCTCATCCATGTGGATGCAAGTGTTTAGTGCAGGTCTGCCCACTAACATAGCCCACAGGGGATGGTCCAGCACGCTGAAATCAAGGGATAGGAGCCATTCGTTCGAAGTAGTGTAAATCAAAAAAGTGCCTCAACAGCGCTCCTAAAATTTTTTTGGTCCCTATGCAAAAGCTGGGTCCTATTAAAAGATCACCACCCCTCTCGAGGGCTGTTATTACCAGTATACAGATGTGCACCTGAAATTCTTGCTCGGTTTCGGTATCAATTCATTCCTTTCTTGGAAACCAGCAAGGAATTGGTGAGGGACCGCGAGATGAGACCCCCGTCCAGACCATGATAAGGTTCGGAGATTCGGGTGCTTGTGGTGAATATTCCTTTCATTCTTACAGACTTCCTCAAGACTTCATGCGGGCATCCTCGGAGTTTGAGGATTGTAGCTCCGCTCTAGCTGAGATTTGTCGTCGCATGAAACGACTCCCGCCCCGTAATCGCCATTTACGGGTCCGGACGCTAGCTCTTTCAAATTTTAGTCCTGCAGTGCTCCTCACTGGGATTGAGCAGTGTGCTTATGCAACTTGTAATGAACTGTGAGAAATAGTTGTCCGACCACACATGGCTGTGTTTAGAAACTCCAGCGTTCTGGTCACCTTTCTCGAGCCAACCCGTTTATTGCAGTCGTTTCACTTCTTCACGCTTTTCCTGAGATCCAAGATGTCAGAACTTGTGGGGCGGCCACAACAGAGACTACTTTTATTGGTCTTCTCTTTTATTGACCGCGGAGCGGTCGAGAATCCGAAGAAGCGCGATGCTCATCACCGGATGTCCGACCTAGCTGCGTGAGAGGTTAGGCACTCTGTTGAAGTTTAGGCGCACCATGAGATGCAGGCCAAACGGTAAGCCGTGGAATTTGGCATGGTCATTGATGAGAGAATAGAGGATTGAAAGGTCTGCCAAAAGCCACAAACACCTACAAAATTTGAGCTCCAAATTTGGTGCAATATTTATGGGACACCTTGTAGTTACTGCATGATTCTATCGCTCGGCCGAGGATGACCACTATAGGTTCCTGTATGGCCGGTACCTTTATTCACTTTCTAGGAGCGCATCGTCGTCGGCGTATCGTCAGGGTTGCAGCCTTTTTTCGGAATAGTGGAGCGCAATGTTTGAAGAACAAGAAATCACGGAGTAGCTTTCTAATACATCCCCTTGATGGTGAAGGTATCACCGTGGTCACCCAGCGATGAACTGTGTTTGATACCTAATCGCCGTCGAGATCAATCAGGCGATTTAGTAGTGATTAGTGGCTAAGTCAAGCCCACATTAGAGACTTTAGCTTTTTCAATTTGCTAATCATGGTTATGCTTGAACGCCATGTACTGCTTGAGACTGAGTATTGTTTAGAGGGAGCACTGCAGTGATGGTGCCCACTGATTTGTCACGCATGCCTCTTTCTTTGAAAGAAGCCAGGCATTCGTACATAAACGACCTCCTACCTAGGAAAATGCGTCGAGATATTTTGAAGGTGAGTCTTCTTTTCCTGGCTAGCAATCCAATTTTATGAAGATTCAAGTAGAGGGACTACAATTTCTACTGCGAGTGTGAAGGATGCCTCGACGAAGAGAGAAACGAGCGAATGGAAGGCTGGCACTGCGAAGAGTGTGAAGATGGGTGGTTGCGGCCACGTGAAGACGCAACTTGCTCTCGGTAAGGAAACCTTCCCGATGGGAACCTTACATCTTGAGCTTACCGACAATTTTTCATCGACTGTCAAAGACCGTGAGCTTTCGAGGAGCATTTTTTCTTCCCTCATTGTTATATGCCTACGAAGAGGTTTTGAGAACTGCTGTAAGAGGCCTGAGAATTTACGTACACTCTGATATGATTCACTCATTTGGAAATGTGAGTGGTACAATGTATATGAAAATATGTCATTCTAATGCCTACTTAATTCATAGACATCTTATGAAAGGAATCCCCTTTCTCTTTAGACTATGATTGCTTGCAGCGTGATAATCTACTTTATGAAGTCTGTGACTACCATATTTCAGGTGCGGTTGGAGCATATCCTTAGATCACTTTCGAGCTTTGTCGTATGGCTGAAGAAAGTGCTAGGTCTGGAAATGAATTTCTATTGAAACTTCGTATAATGTAGCAGTAGAGTTGAACTAGGCTTATTAATAGGTAAGCATAGATAAAACGCTATCATGAGTTAGACCGTTTGATACGCATTCTTTTGTTAAACAAGATCTAATTTTTCCCCATCACTTGACGGGAAGCGCTTTACAATTCAATTGTTGGCGAATTCCGTTGCCTTCGCTTCTTTTGAAAAATGCAGGGTCGGCGGAAAGAGAGTAAGTCAATTTGATGCTTTGGAAATCCCGTGCATTGTGTTTGAATTTCAGCACGGAGCACATGTTGAAATATGGAAAAGACCTGTTATCATTGCAAGAGCAGTATCAGGACAAGGATGATTTGGCACTTTGTCACCTGAAATACGGCTTGGCACAAGCCTACAAATTGGCCGGAGACCAAGAGAGTTGTAACAACGGCTGGCTCACTGGGTGTGAGAGAGGTAGAACATTTTGTTCTCGGTTGTTACCGTATGTCTTACAATTGCCTATTTTAAAAAGCCGTCGGGTTTACACCCCTTCAGGGTCAGTTCTTGATCCTTCAGATTACGTTTTCATTCTGGCTTTTCGTTCAAAGTGATCGAACAGTTTCTAACAACCATGTGCCAGCCACAGGGACGCAATGTGGTATGAGGGGTGTCCATCACTTACGCTGGTGCGGCTCGTGAAAATTTGTGACTGCATTCCACTCCTTACAACCACGTACTCCATCTCTCCGGCGTTAGGAACACTTGGTGCCAAAAGAGCAGAGACTTTGACTTGTACATTGGCTGGCCGTAAAGTGGGTCACTGTATGTGCCAAATCGCATACAAATGCGGCAACGATTCTGAGTGGAAGCAGAATGCATTTCGCATTCGAAGAAGTGTTGATTAGGGCGAAATCAGTCGTTTCAGTTGTTTGTCCTTTCATGTGTTAGGCCGATGTTAGATTACATTGAAGGCTTCGAGTTGATTTGGACTGTGCACACTCTGATACCCCATGAAGGTGGGAAGGCCTCTCAGTTGGGCGAGCGGTTCTTGAAGTCAAATTCCGCGATTGGATCATCGAACCAATCTCTTCCCGCGAAGAAGGTTGCTAAAGCTTGGGCAAACATGAACCCTCAAGCGACATTATACCAACCCCCACCGTTCGACGTCTATCGCCTCGTTCTTGCTGTCTTCTCTTCTTTTCGTCGGTCGTTCTCTCGTCACAGCGAACTGTGCTCTGAAAACCTTTTGTCTCCCAAATTTTGTCTCCCAGCCATGACCCAACTTTTCCTTTTTCTCTCACTGGCAGGTCAATTAGGGCCTATTGTTCCATATTTGGACCCCATATGTATCTGCTTTTTGCTAATACCAATCAAGATCAGGTCAAGAGATTCGTAACTTTATTCAGGTTTTTGGACGAGCGTATGGACCGAACTCGCGGATTTATGTGCTCATCTCGCTTATGTGTTGATGGACTTATTTTTGTTTTTTTTTAGTCGTGTTCTTCTAGCTTTCGGATAATTTTTATCATATCTGGACCCCATACATATACAGAGTGCCTTCTATACTCAAACTTTTTCAAGTTCTTATGGCCGAAATCTTGACCTTGTTAGCGTTGGCCGATTGAGATAGTCGTTACAGTTCTTGATTTGTTTGTTATGTAGCTACGGTTTTGTCGCACTCCGATGTGCGAATGTTACTGAAAGTTGAAAAAAAGGGGATAAACATCAGCCTAAACCGGGACAATAACCCGGATCTCGTGCTTCCCGGTTAGGTATGCTACACTTTCCGAGGTACCATTCGTCGCATTTTGCTTCTCTCCGGTACTGGTTTAATGACACAAACAATTGAAATTCACTGGTTTCTGAAAAGGAAATGTCTATGACATGCGGGATATCTTCCAGTACTTTGCAAGGCCCGTATGGGGGATGTATGAGGTCCCCGTTACCGGCATACTTTCCTTAGATTGCTTATAACAAGCCGTTTAAGGTTTTCTTTAGTATTATGTCACTTGCCCTTACGTTGTCTTATTAAATCAAAGTGATCTCGCTTTCAGAGTTCTATTGTTGATGTTTCAATTTACAAGTTTCAATCAAACATTTCTTGAATTTATCTGCGTTTTTTGACTTGTTTAAATTGTATTGCACACTTGCTTATCTGAACTGAGTGCTTTTGATAGGATCAATTTGGATTCATTTAGGTAACGGTTTTCAGAGTATTTGGTTTCAATGTCAGTCGATTTTGGCTGGCGTCGTTTCAATTTTTTCGACAAAAACACTGTACAGGATCCGGAAAATCCGAGCGAGAGGTTTTTTGGTCTTAAGGTAGTTGTTAACTATTTGCTTAAACACAGGGTAAATAATGATCGAGAAATCTTCTATCGTGGCTCTGTAGTGTGTGAGAATGTCGAGAGCGAATGTCCGTGTGGGATGAAACAGGCAAAAAACCTCGACATGTCGTCAACAATTCCTCAACGATTTTCACCCTGCTTCAACGTCTATTAGACTAATCTAACCAAGGTGTGCTTGGAGCTTATCCCTTTTTCATTTTGTATTAGCAGATCTTTGTTGCTAGTCTTTGTGAGATTAGGAGCGCATAAGGGCAGAGCCTGAAGAGATAAACGAAGTCATATGCTCATCTCATTTCGAAGACTGAAAGAAATAAGGCCACATGAAGATAGAAAAAAGTGGTTAGAAGCTTGACGAAGTAGGGAAGGACATATGCTTTGGTGGGCGTTCACCAAGGGGGGGGGGGCGGAGTTTGCGAGTTCCATCGGGCTGGACTCCAAACAATGCCACTTAAAGGAAGTCTGCCTCTAAAAAAATCCGTGATTTCTATTTCACACGGTTGGGAGGACCTATCGCTTCACGATAAGAACGAAGAAACAAAAAAATGGCATTTGTTTGGTAAAAATATCGAAAAATCGAAAAACCGTGTAAAGATAGGGCTACGGTTGAGGTAACCGCCGACATCTGTTCACAAAACTGGCGACGGGAATTAGCGGTCGTTGGGAGTGCCGTCATAGAAAACTCTTTTCTGGCCGTGGTTTGACGTAGTGACTTCATCTCTCACACTTATACTGCATCCCTATTCCATCGGTCGATTTGTCTCTACTCTCCAAAATCGCACGCGTCAATCGGATTCTTTAATTGCGTTGCCTGATATGTAGCCGCCCTAAAGCGGACTTTTTTCCATGTCCCGCCTTTGGCTCCGCCACCAGGCGTCAACCTATCTGTTTGTTACTTTCGGAAATTTTACGACCCCCCCCCTTTCATGGGTGATTTGATACGACCCCCCCCCTTGTATGTGACACTTGTGTAGAGACAGTGTTTACCATCAATATTTATTTCTACGTAAGTCATCAAAGATGAAACTTTAGCAAAATCCACGACAGATATTCATCGCTGCTTCCAAACACGAAAAAATGAGATGCAAAAAGATCCGTGTACTCCAAAGGGTTACCAAACTAGGAGATGAAATAAACTGAACCAGTGACCGGAATATTGACAATATTACCTGATAAAAACTTATGAGAAGTCAGAAAAAATTATCGCTCCAATTGAAATACTGAAATCCTTCACGTTCTTCAATTGCAACACAATTTTTACACCCCTCTTTCTAAGGCTATAACTTCCTTCATATTCGAGCTTCTGCGCCGAAGTGATTTGATTTGGAAAATTCAAATTATTCTCTCTCCAACCATGGGTAAAAATTCTTCGAAAGTTAATTTATAAAAATTTAGTACGTTGTTACTTTTTTCTGTGCAAAGCGACTTTTTGACCTTCAAACGATCATAACTTCCTTCAAAGTCATTCATTTGGGAAGCTGAACACGTATAATAAACTACAGGATTCAAGCTTTCTAACGAGCACCCAAGCGTTCCTGAAAGATCAGCAGTTCAAAAATTAGTCCCGTTGTTACTTTTTATTTTGAGGGGTATTCTTCAAGCCATTTTCTCGAAAACGCGAGTTTTCTTAGGTTTCACTGCCCGTAACTTCTTGGAAGACCAATTTTATGTTTAATTAGGATGTGCTAGAAAGCTCCGAGCATGCGCTTGCACTACATCCCTTGCCTTGGTGCGCGCCACGCCTCGGGCGCCCTTCTAATTCGCTGATTCATTTGAAAGCTCATTTAGAGGGAAGCGTGGTTTATAGATGCTCTAGTATCAGTCATCTTACGAAAACGTAACGTGCTGGCTATTATCCGATATTACCAAGAATCCCACTGTCGGCCACCGAGAGGGTACGACCCCCCTCCCTCCAAGCTCAACTGAGTACGACCCCCCCCCCGTTGTTACTCGTAACAACGTAGGGTTGACCCTGCTCCCACTACTTACCGTCGATTGCCCATAGAGTGTGGTTTCTGTAAGTTTGTTGGCTCTTTGGAAACTGAATTTTTTGTGCTGCGTAAATATTGTTGCGGTTAGTCTGGGAGCTGACATATGGCGTGTTTGCGGAAATGGAATGCAGGCTTTTTCCGGAAGCTTCCTTAAGTCTTAAAAAAAAAGGATAAAGCATTTGCCGTTGATCAATCCCTTTTTGGGATGCGGCACGCATTCTACTTCCATTTGTACATTCGCAGTGGCATTTGAATGCGATGTGGCCTATACAATGACTTGCGGGGGCCAGCGATGATGTTCAAGTCAGTGTTTTTATCCTCCCAGACAAGTCTGGTACCAATTAACCGACCCCGGAGGGATGGAAGGCTTGGTTGGCCCGGGCGACTCACGACCCAGGATTTGATCCCCGGACCGCTCGCGTGGTGAGCGCGCCACTTGTCACTACACCACTTCCGCCCCTAATTCTTTGTTAGATGTTTGAAAATGAAGGACAGCATTTGGCGCTCGCTTGCCGTAGTGTTTTACACCATTTTTCCACACCTTTCACGACAAGATCTGAGCTAGTGGCTGACAGTCATCAAGGTGAATGCTTTGACTTCATGGGGCTTTTGACCGGTGCTCTCTTTCAATTGGTTCATCGACCAAAAAGCCCACATTCATTTAAAACGTTTTGGAAGATAAGCCAGTCTCGAAAGGAATTGCATCGGCAAGCGGAAGAGGTTTAGAGCCTGGAGAATCTGAAGATTTGGCCAATGGTAAATCAAACATTTGGCGAAGAATGTTTGGAAGGAGAGTGGAATGGACCAGCGCCTGAATCTTTTTTCTAACCATATTTCTAACATGCTCAAAAAAGCGAAGTCAGTGCAGGAGTTGGGCGAATTGAAGACGCGGTCATCTTTCACAATTTGGGAAATTTGGAATTGGCAAGTTACTTCAACGAAGTTCCTAACGATCTCTAGCACTACCACCCATGTGGGGCTCGCCCGAATTCCCACCACCACCACCTCACAGGTGTAAATTGTTTTCAAAATTTGATTCTATCACAGACTGCTGGCGAGCAAACCGGAGGGGAAGGGGAGGAGAGGAGGAGATGAGGGCGTGAAGAGGCTCAAACAGAATTTTTACACACTTCTTAGGTCTCAGGCATTTCAGGCCTTTTCTAGAGCACCTGTTTAGAAACTCTGTTACTGTAGGTCAACGTCTGTGTTGCTTACTATGTGGCAACACAAGGTAGATAAAGGCCGACTACCAGTGATTGTGTGATCTACCTGGACACTCCGTAACCTCCCTACACAGTCGGCCTGGTTACGGTTTCGGGCAACCACCCTGCACTCTGTATAAAAACAACCTAGGTAGCAGGGCGAGGTCTACGAGCTCTTATGGTCTACCATTCACCAGGTAGTGACGATCACAGAACCTTCTGTCCCCCTCCCCTTCCCCTCTGACTTTACTGGTGCCACCGTCAGATGCTGCACTCTCGCTCCTTCCTTGCGTTGTTGTATTTATTCGTTTGTGACTGCATTTAGGATAAGTAAATATTTCTACATTGACAGTCCTACTCCGAGGTCGAAACCTAGTACCAAATCGCCACCCTTTAGCTGTCTGCTCCGAGGGTTCTCTGGTAGCTGACAGCGGGCCAGCGAGTTCACGGTCTACCACATTTTAACTACCCGCGCTAAATTGAAAAGGAGGAGGAATTTTTTTTTTACTACGTCTCCCACTCCAAAATAACCTTTTCCCTTTTAAACGCAACCTCTTCGTCTTCCACCACCACGCTCACTAAAGCTTTCGACATGTCCCCTGTCCGCATCGGCCAGATGCGCGCGTGATTCTGATTGGAGATCGAAGAGGAGGCGACAAAGCTTAGATGCGTATCCAATCAGTCGTCTTTGCCCTACCTGCGTTTTGGGAGAATTTTCGACTATCTGATCCTGATCGGTTGTTCGCACTCATTCCATTCTGGTTGAATCGCCGAGTTTTCCAAAACTTTTGTGTGAGGAGGCAGCTTACCCTGTTAAGTGCTCAGACCTGCTTCAACTGCGCTAAATTAGTGAATTGTGTGGGGAAATGTTCATAAATTCGAGTCGGTGGATTGCGGACTTGCGTAGTTAGAATTCTGTAAAATCTGAAGCCAGAGGCCACTTCGGATTTTTCGTTCTCGAGAAGCTTTTTAGAGAATTTGGTTGATTTTAGGATGTTTGTGTCGATTGCTGGTGTAGCAGCACTAATGGAGAAGCTGCATATCTCGGCGAACAACGAGGAGGAGTGTTCCGATTAGGCAGAGGACTGGATGAAAACTACTGGAAAGCATACCAAACGTCTCTCACTGCATTGCATGTTGCAGACGACTTCATATTCTCCATTGGTGTGAGTTCGTTTCGCTGCTTTCATACCTCATATTTTTGATGAGAGCCACAACTTATTCTCCTCATTTCTCAGTTCTCCAACATTCCAATGTAGGAGATACAAGTTGCTTAAGGCTCAATTTTTCCTGCAATGAGGTTGTTAGGTGGAATTTGTATGGATCTTTAGCTTCGACGTGATATGTCGATAAGGAGGTATACTGGCAGTAGTCAGCATAGTTACCTCGATTCGCTACTGTAATGTTTTTCTAAGGTCTTGAAAATGACGACATGTCGCAGAGTTGTTAGATCTCGATAATAGTTCTACTTCATAACAAATGGATAAAGGATAAAGCATTTGCCTTTCAACCCCTTTTTGGATGCAGCACGCATTCTACTTCCATTTGTAAATAATCGTCCCGGGGATGGAAGGCTTGGTTGGCCCGGGCGACTCACGACCCAGGATTTGATCCCCGGACCGCTCGCGTGGTAAGCGTGCCACTTGCCACTACACCACTTCCGCCCCTACTTTGATACGTTCAAAAAAGTTATCACATGATATTCAGATCACATAATATTCCTGTGCTTTAATTATAAACAGTAGTTAAATAAAATAAATAAGTTAAATATAATTGCCGAAATTTTGTGAGGAAAGATGTTATGGAGTGCTTATTTATTTCGATTGTTAAGGAAGACGAAGAGGGAACGAATTCGATGCTGAAGATTTGGAAAGGTGACACTTTTGAGAAAGGAATTCCAGTGCTCTGTAGAGAGGTTCGTTTTCTTAGCTGCTTCACACATAGGTTCACATTAAGCCTGGGACTACTGCTGTCTTTTCATAATTTGGCTATTTTTCGTAGTTCTTTCGTTTTTGTGTGTTTGAGCTTAGGTCAATCCGAAATTAACTGGTATTGTCTGCGCATGCAGTCAGATATATGTAGAATCTAAATGAAAACAAACGAGAGTGAAAACAAACCAAAGAATAAGCACTCATCCAAGGAAAGGCACATGATCTTGGTGATTTAAAGGCAAACCCCGGGTTAGCCCCACTTGTGAGAAGGATAGCGCGTGTGAAATTTGTGAGGTCCGTACCTAGACCACACAAGCTCCGCCGCAAAAGTTGTGGGTTAGGGCGCTAATCCTTACGGGCCTG